GAGTGCTGGCGAGTGCTCCTGCAGCCAGGGTGGTCCTCTGTGGACCAGGGTGCCCGGAGGAGGCCTCTGCGGGGTACAGACAGCAGTAGTGCACTCTCTTATCTAACACGTACTGCGAACATCGCCAAGAGTTTCACATTAGACTCTTGGAACAGCTTGGAACCTCCTACAACAGTGCTTTTCAAAGTGTCCCCAACCAGCAGCCTCATTATTATCTGGAAACTGGTTAGAAATGAAATTTATCGGGCCCCACCACAGACCTGCTTAATCAGAACCTCTAGGTGTGGCTCTCAGATTACAGTTTGAGAATCAGCGCTGTAGAAAGTAGATGTGACATCCACTTTCTGGAGGGGAACCTGTGGCCTGAAGAAGCTAGGTAACTTGCCTTACATCCCAGTAGGGCCTGATTCCAATTCATTTCTCCTGGACCTCAAAAGACTGGGAGCTAGGACCTCGGGGCTGATTTTATTCAAAACAGCACAAGTGCTTCTGAGCATGGCTCATGGTGGTGCATGTTTCAAACCTTTTCAGTGATATAAGACCAGGACTTGGATGAGAGATGTCTGTAAGAGAAAGTGACTGACATGCTAGGTTAGAGAAGGCTTCCAGGAAGAGGAGGAGGGACACTGGAGCTGGGTGTCCTGCAGCAGTCTGACTGGGGAGAGGCTGAGCAATGCCAGAGTGCCCCTTCTGCCCTCAGGCTGCAGTTTGCTCTGGAAGGGGAGAGAAAAGGACTAACTTGTATTAATTGAAAAGTGACAATATGCTAAGTGCTGCAATCCATTCTACCATCAGGACAACCTTGGGATATAGGTGCTATTTCAATCCCCATTTTATAGATGAGGAAGCCAAGAGGTGAATTGTCCTTGCCCCAGGTTGCAGGGTTAGTGGGGCCAAGCTAGGATTGAAGGCCTCTTTTTTCTGCCTCCAGAGCCTGGGTCTTTTCCATGCATAACTGTCACCACCAAGTGCGAGAGGCATCTGTTCTCAGATGGACTCTCAGGGGTAACCTTAGTAGAAACTGTTCTCACTGACCTGTGTCCATCCACATTTGACTTTGAAGCCCTCCCTCCTCAGTGAGGCTCCAGACTAAATGACTCACTCCTTTACTCCTTTAATACGTATTGATACCATGGTGAATAAGGACTTGTGGAGGGTCTCAGGGCCCTATTAGGAGAGCTTCTCAGGGACTTTACCTCCCTAGTTCCTTCCCTTTCTTCAAGTCTTATATTAAATGTTACTCTTTGGGAGTTTCTTTCCTGACCCCTCTATTACTAAAGTCCCTAAGTGCTGAGGATATGAGTGGGAGGGAGCAATGTGTTCCAGGAAGAGGAACTGCAAATACAAAGGTCCTGGGGCAAGATGGAACTTGGGAAGTTATAGAAAGAGGAAAAACCCACAATGGCTGGAAAATGTGTGAAATGAGTGAGCGTTTTGAATTTCATTCTAAGTGCAATGGGGTGCCATTTTAAGGATCCAAGGAGGGAGTTAGTTTAAGATCATGCCAGCTACTGGGTGAAGAATGGATGAGGGAATGGCTAGAATAGGAGCCGGGATACCAGTTAGGAAGATGTTGCAGGCTGTGGAGGGAAAACATTCTAAGCCTCTCTTTCTAAAGGAAAAATATAACTTGAACATGAGCTTCCATTTTAATAAAGGATCCAGTTTTTCTCTGTAAAATACTTTGCTGGCTGAATATGTTAAGCTAAGGCAATGGTTCTCCCCGGGACCAGCAGCATTGATGCCACCTGGAAACTTGTTAGAAATGCAAATTCTCATCTTCTCCCGACTCCCAAAAACTGAATGGGAACCTTTGGGGCTGCATTCAGCATCCTGTGTTTTTATTAGGCCTTCCAGGTGATTCTGATGCATACTCAAGTTTGAGAAGCCCTGAGCTAAGAAGAGTCTCAGGCAAATACTTTTATTTGCACTATGGTGCAATGCACCTAAGGAAAAGCATTCTTGTAATATTTGTAGAGCATTATTTAAATAATTACATAAGTCATAAGACAATAACCAATAAGAAAGTTAATTATAAAGCTTCTAATTCTAGTTCCAGCAATATGCAGACTTAACCTTCCTGCTTGCAAAACATGTTGAAATGCTGAATAAAAAGTATCCCGTTGAAAATATAGCTTGACTCATGAAAAAATAAGAAAATTTGCAGGCATTAAAAATAAAGGAGTTGAAAAAGGCAGTAAACTCGTGAGCCAACTTTGTGGCCCTGGGCATGGGTCAGGGAGTGGCGGTTCATGGAGCTGGTATGTCAGCAATCTACAGCCTTCAGTTTCCTTTTTCTATTACAATAGTAATTCATATTAACACAGACACAGTTTATGAAGCACTTTTATGGAAATGATTTTGTTCATTGGAAGGTAACGTGTTAGAAGTTGTAATTTGGTAAGATGCTACATTAGTTTAAAAAGGCTTTGGAAGGAAGTGGCTTTTTTTTCCACTGACATCAAATATGTGGGAAGAAAATGTTTTCACAAACTATTTTTAATCAGTGTAGCCAAAACACTGAACGGCCGTCCTCCCGTGACCATATTGTACATGGCTTATTATCACTGTCAAAATCGATCAGGACAGGAGGGGGGTCTTCTTTGGGTATTGGATAGTAATGCCTATATAGGGAGAGAAATTGATACTTTGAGGCCTCAATAAAACATTACCGAGACATCATAATCATACATAATATATGATTCCATTTATGTGTAATGACCAAACAAGACAAATCTATGGAGAAAATAGGTTAGTGGTCGCCCGAAATGAGTGGGATTGGCTGCAAATGTGAATGAGGGATCTTTGATGGAGAAGTCCTAAAACTGGATTGTGGTGATGCTTGCACGACTGTATACATTTATTAAAAGTCATTGCATCGTATGCTTAAAATGTGTGAATTTTATGGTGTGTAAATTGTGCCTTGATAAAGTTGTTGAAAAGCAAAGCTAACATTTTAGATGTTTTTAATTTTTAAAAGATCATTCCCCCCCACCCACAGGGGCTAGAGAAGAGAAAAATGGGGAATGACCGCTTAACGGGTATGGGGGCTCCTTTTGGGGTGGTGAACACGTCCTGGAACTAGGCAGTGGCGATGGTTGCATAACATTGTGAATGTATTGCTGCTGAATTGTACACTTTAAAATGGTTAAAATGGTAAAGTTTTTCTTTTTGCTGTTATTGTTGAAATGTATGTTTATTCTGGTACTTCTGATCAGTTGTACAACTTATCTAGTGAAAATTACCAGATAAATTTTACATTTCTTCAGGACTGGGGTTTATCGATGACTTCAAATTTGGGATCTTCAAATTTGAAGTCAGGGAACGTATTCATGTCTGCTTTACCATACATTTGCTTAAGCTTAAAAAGCTCCCTCTCCAAAGCCTGCTGTTACTCTGGGCCAGTATCAACAGGCCCTCCAGACGATTGTCGCTCAGTTCTGTATTCCCTAATCTTGTCCACGAAGCGTTTCTGTACAGGATCAAGTTCCTTATTAAATGCCACTGCTGTCACACCAATATTCCTCCTCAAGTAGACTGAGACTGCAGACTGAATGACCGAGGAGAACCTGAAGAGCCTCTGAAGAATCATGGTGACTCTGTTACGGACAGGAAACGTCTCGGAGACAGTCCGCGACTGGACGGCTGTAGGTGAGGTAGAAACTAAAATGGTAAAGTTTTTCAGTGTTTTACAATAGTAAAAAAAATGATTATATCAGTTGACATAAATAAAACAGCACTAAAGCTTACTATGCTTCTTTTACTAGATGATTTTAAAAATCTTTTTATTTTGAAATAACTATAGGCACATAAGAAATTGCAAAAATAGTAAAGGGAGGTTCCATGTACCCATCACCCAGTCTTTCCTACCTTATAGTACCAATAGTATATCATTCCAACCAGGCAGTTGGCATCAGTACGATCCAATTACTGGACTACAGCTCTTACTCAGAGTTTTTGGTGAATTGTTTTAAAATCTATAAAATACCCAGTGCGTATTTTGTCTAGTTAAGATGAATCGTTTTACTGTTCTCATCCCATGGAAGAAAGCATTTTGATTTAAAAACATAATAAAATAGTTTCTGACCTTTTCCCCTTTGAATTAAGGAGGTGAGAGTGGAGATGAAGAGAAGAAGGCAGTTTGGAGACAGGAGCAAATGGATTTAAAAATGGACTTGGAAATCATAGGAGAGGGAGAAACCAAGGATAGCACATGGGCTTTTGGCTTCAGCAACTGGGTGAATGGCGGGACCACTTAAGGACAGAGAAGTCTTGGGAAGGAATTGGTTTAAAGGAAAGAATCCTGAGTTCAGTCTCAGGCTTGTTCGGTGTGAGGGGCTTCTGAGGCATCTCCGTGGGAGTCCAACAAGCTGTCGGATATAGGGTCGAGAGAAGGGAAGAGAGTTGGAGCCAGTTTCACAATTGGAGAGGGGTCATCACACATAAATTGGATTTAAATTCCCCCTCAACTCTGTCCATGTATACCATAAATGTTTATTAAATGATTCTAAGTCTTAGGGATACAGAAGTAAAGAAGGCACAACGTTGGCCTTTTACTTTGTGTAGGCAGTGTAGGCAGCTTGTGTGTTAGGGACAGGACAGGGTGGTGGCTTTGCCCAGGCAGGCTAAAGGAGGAAGGTCACAATGTGTACTTTGTGATGAGATCTATGCTATAACTGGGTGGCGGATGGACCCCGCAGAGAGCCAAGCTTTCCTCCTGCGGGGAGGATACAGGACACACCATATATTATCTTTCAACTCTTGCACCTTCCATTCCAGGACCAGTTAGGGTCCTATTTGGAGGTGGGCAAACAGATAAGGAGGCAGAAGATGAGAGGTTGGGAGGAGGTATGGTGTGGAGGGTGGGGGGTTGGGGAGCCGGAGAGGCCAACAGGACAGAGGCTTGTGGGGCTGGTTGTGGCCTCATTCCTCTTCTTTCCCTGATCCAGGTAAAGAAGCCAGTCTGATGCCTGCCATAGAAGCCATCGCCGGGGTCAGACATGAAGCGTGTGTGTCAGATTTTTGTCCTCTGGGTCTTCTGCGTGCTCATCTTGTGGCTGATGATCCCCTGCCTGGATCAGAAACCCGAATTGGCACCCCAGGAAAAACTGGTGTACTTGGTACCATGGTGTGGCAACTGCCTTTGGTTCAAGATCAAGAAGTGTGGCTGCCCATCCGGGACACTCAACTACTCCCTGTGCCACCAGACAGGCAGAGAACAGAACTGGTTTGATGCGTGCTATGAGAAGGCGACGGAGTACCTGATGAGGACAACAGAGTCCCTGCCCCCCAGTGTTGTGCTCTGGTGGTTGGTCAGTGGTCCACACTGGGCCTAACCCCTCACCCTTCTTCCCAGGCCTAGCCCATCTCCCACTTTCCAGCCCAAACCCCTGCCTTGGGCCCTGGCTTAGAGCACCTCCCATCTTCAGAGCCTCAGCTCTGCTTTCTTCCCACCGGGAGCCAATACCTGGATCCTAGCCCTCAGTCTCCCCCCTCCGGCTGTTCCCAGGGCGTGAACTCAGCAAGCAAGCTGGGCAAAGTGTGGGAGAAGCTGTTCGAGGTTATTCCCAGACCCTCAGTAAGGCCTAATGACCTGTATTGTGGGTCTTGTGTGCTGGTGGGGAACTTGAAGGTCCTGCGGGCTTCTGGCCTCAGCAGCAACATCACCCACCACACCACAGCCTTCAGGTGGGTGCTGAGGAGAGGGCAGGGAGCAGGAAGGCCCAGGCCTGCCCGCAGAGTTCTGCCAGCTTCTGTTCTCCTTCCCAGAGTGAAACCGGCCCCTGTTCAGGTCTTCAAGAAGGTAGGGAACCAAACCGTGGGCTTCACCTGCCGTAGGAATGCTGGGGCCCAGGGTTCCTGGAGGCAGCTGCTGCTGCTTCTCCTGAAGCTTTCTGGTCTGGCCTGGACTTCAGATGCTCTGAGTCAGGAGGTGATGGTTTGGGAACTCAGACATTCTTAGCATGGGGGTGAGGGGAAGTCACTATAGGGTAACCTACTGAGGGCAGCTGCAGGACCTTCCCAGGTCTCAGGGGCTGCTGAAACTCCCCCACCTCCTAATTCTTTCTTAGGTTTTGGAAGATCATCTAGTTCCCTAGTGGAATGGAAGATAGCAAAGACCAGGTAAGGGGACAGGAAAGAGTAAGATATGGCTGTGGGCTGCTGTCTGGAAGGCCCCAGGTACGCTCCCTCTCCCTTCTCCCCCAGGTCTTTGGGATGAGCCCCACCTTCCTCAGGTACAACCAGGGTGACAGGCTGGATAACCAGGGTCGGTATCCATCCCTGGGGTTTGTGGCTCTGTTCTGTGCCTTGTCCATCTATGACCCAGTTAAGAATCTTATTCCTTCTTCACTTAAAACTTCCTTCCCCTATGCCTTCAACATAGAGCCTAAAAATTTCTGCCAGGCTTTCAAGGCTCTGCATGATCTGACCCTTCCTCTCCCCTCCTCTCTCCCAGGCTCACACGCTGGGCTTGTTGGCATTCCCCAAACACACTGGCTGCCTCGTGCCTTCTCACACACTGCTCCTCTGCCTGGAATGCCCCTCTCTTGTCTCCCTGGGGAATCCTCTCTCTTCTTCCAATGTGAGGAGGAGCCATAGCTGACACCCTCTTTTCTGGGCTCTGGGGTCATTGTGAGTGTTCAGAGTTTTTCTTCCCTGGAAAAAGTGAGCCCCATTCTCCTCCCAGCTCTAAGAGGCAGGCTGTCGCCCTTGATTCCCCCCGCCCCGCCCCGCCCCCCGCCACTTGATGGTGAGGGAGGTGTTGAATGCAGGGAGGTGGGATAAGGGCAGGCAGGATTCCTCTGTTAACACATACATTTCTCTCTCATTCACCAGGATGCCCATTTTGGATTTGGATCAGAGAAGCAAGGAAAGTGGGAGGATGTTAATCAGACCCTAAGGAGGTTACTGCCTAGCTCAGAAGCAGAAATGGAAGTCAGCAAGAGTGTGTGGTGGGCAAGCTCACCATCCACATGTGATGCCCTGCTGGTCCACACAGGTCCTAGTCCTTTGGGCCTGAAAGCAGGAGAGTCTTGGGATTGTAGCCCCAACAGTATAACTATGAGGACTTTCAGGGGTGAAGGGCAAGAGGGAACTGTGTGGACATCAGTCGGGTACTGAATAAAATCCTAGTCTGATTCTTTTACCTGTGAGGACAGTGTCAGGGGAGGAAGGGCCTGACTTGATTTTCAGATCTCAGGGTCAATATTTCCCTGGCTTTCTCTGCCTGAGTCCCTGGATCATGCAGACGGTGTAAATTTAGACCCAACCCTATGGTTGGATGCAAGCCCAGACTCCATTCTTGGGGATGTTCTTTTCCCATAGGATAAAAGAAATGAGCCTCCTTATCCAGAAAAGGCAAATCTATAGAAATAGCAGATGAAGAGTTAGCAGGGGGTGGGGCAGAAGAGAATGGTGAGTGATTATTTGATGAGTATACGATGTTTTTAAAAAGTGTTGAGTGTAGAAGCACCTGCTGCCCGCACAACATTGAGAGTACACTAAATGCCACTGAATTGTACACTTAAATGGTTCATTGTATTTTATGTAATTTCACTTCAATTAAAAAAAAGAGTTGCAAACAAATGCATGTACTATGATTACAACTATAACATTAAAAGCATACAAAATAATACACTGTCTAGCTATACATAGATGTGTAAAAAATAAAAAGTCAAGGGAATAATAAACAGAAAATTCCCAACAGTATTACCATCTGGCAGGGAAGAATGAGCACCCAGGGTTTTTAATGATATCAGTGGTGGTCTGTTCATTAAGGAGGGTACATAGATGTTTGTTTTCTTGCTATCTTATATATATTCAGTACTTAATAAAATTTAAAGACATAATAAGGAAGGAAATCCTGTTACATGTTGCAACATGGGTGAAGCTTAAGGGACATTAACACTAAGTGAAATATGCCAAACACAAAGAGACAAATATCGTATGATTCCTCTTTGGCGTACATAAACTGGTAGGAACAGAAAGTATAATGGTGGTTTCTAGGGGCCAAGGGAGAGGGGAATGGGAGTCATTGTTTAATGGGTATAGTCTTTCTGTTTTGCAAGATGAAAAAGATCTGGAGCTGTTTCACAACAATGTGAATATACTTGTACTACTGAACTGCATGCTTAAAAATGGTCAACACGGGGTGCCAGAAAACGAGCCCGCGAGCAATTTTGGAATTACGGCAGTGGTGGGCAGCCAAGGTAATCTGCACCGATTTCTTGGGTTGACAGTTCCTGGATCCCCACTTTGAACAATGGAAATGTCCTGGGTTACTTTGCAGAAAGAAGTAATCCCTTTTACGACAGAACATGTAATAATGAAATGGCCAAAATGCAGAGACTAGCCTTGGAACACTTAAATCAGGTGGTTGGAGTGGAATACATCCTCTTACATGCTCAAGAGCCCATCCTTTTTATTATTTGGAAACAACAGCAGCAGTCTCCTACCAAAGTTATCCCACTGGCTGATTACTATATCATGGCTGGAGTGATCTATCAGGCACCAGACTTAGGATCCGTCATAAGCTCTAGAGTGCTTACTGCGGTACATGGCATTCAGTCAGCTTTTGATAAAGCTATGTCATACTGTCGATATCATACTTCCAAAGGGTATTTGTGGCACTTTTAAAGATCATGAAGAGCAAGTTAAAGTGAAACCTAAAACCAAAAGGAAGGAGTTCCATTTTCCAGAAGCAACGTGTGGATGTTTTTACTCCTAGGCCTGAGACAAAAATTTCCACCCAAATTTGTGCAGCAAAAGTCTGGAGAAAAACCTGTCCTAGTGGATCAGACAAAGAAAGAGGCAGAATCTACACCAGAAACTCTAAACTCTGAGGAGAAGAAGACCACAAAGAACATCCAACAGAGAGTGAGGACTAAAGGGCCCCCTGAAAAACGAATGAGACTTCAGTGAGTGCTGGACAGGAGAGAAGCTTGCAAGACTTCTTGTCCATTATTATACCTCATTACTGTGACAGGCTCTTGAACTTTAAAAGTTCTTTGTCACCACCCTCTCATTTGTATAGAATATGCTTGTTCTTTAAGAAAGGATACTTATGTCCTTTCAATATGCTTTCAATATGGATATTTGTATCTTTTGTAATCTTTTCCCTACAGGACTTGATTAGCCTCCTTACTCACATGTGTACTGCTTTTATGTGTTTAAAACCAAATAAAGGCGTTTGTGTAAATTTCAAAAAACGGTTAACATAGTACATTTTCTTATGTGTTTTTATCACAATAAAAAATTATAGTAATTAGAATTTAATTTTAGATGTAGAAGAACTGTTGACAAGTTAAGGTATGCATGAACTCATCAAAGAAATTTGCATGCTGGGGTAACAGGTTTTTGTGTTTTTTTTTAACTATAATATTAGCTAATTCTCAAAAACAACAAAAGCTAATATAAAAAAGTTAGACAGCATCAAAGTAAAAAGCTTATGCACAGCAAAGGAAACCATCAACAAAATGAAAAGGCAGCCTATGGAATGGGAGAATATACTTGCAAATTATGTGATAAGGGGTTAATATCCAAAATATTTAAGAAACACATTCACATCAATAGAAAAAAAATGAACAATTAGACTTAAAAATGAGCAGAGGAACTAGAGAGACATTTTTCCAAAGAAGACATATAAATAGCCAACAGGAATGTGAGAATGTGGTCAGCATCACTAATCATTAGAGAAATGCAAATCAAAACAACAATGAGCTATCACCTCACACCAGTTAGAGTGGCTAGTAACAAAAAGATAAAACAATTGCTGGCGAGGATGTGGAGAAAAGGGAATCCTTGAGCACTGTTGTAAAAGCGGTGCAACCACTATAAAAAACAGTATGGAGATTTCTCAAAAGATGAAAAGCAGAACTATCAGATTATCTACCATATTACCTAGCAATTCCATTTCTGGGTATGTATTCAAAAGAAATGAAGTCACTATTTCAAAGTGATATTTGCACTTCTATGTTTATTGCAGCATTTTTACAATAGCCAAGACATGGAAACAATCTAAGTGTCCATCATGGGTGAATGGATAAAGAAAATGTCAAATAAATAAATAAATAAATAAATAAATAAATAAATAAATAAATATATATATAACACATCCATCATATATATACAAATATTATTCAGCCGTAAAGAAACAAGGAAATCCTGTCATTTGCAACAACATGGATAGATGTTGAGGGTATTCTGCCAAGTGAAATAAGTCAGATGAGAAAGACAAATACCATATGATCTTATATGTAGAATCTAAAAAAACCCCAAAATCATAGAAACAGAACAGATTGGTGGTTGGCAGAGGGGGAAAGTGATCAGAAGGCACAAGCTTTCAGCTATAAGCCCTGGGTGATGTTCAGTGTGGTGGCTATAGTTAACAATAGTGTACTGTATATGTATTTAAAAGTTGTTGAGAGAGTAGATCTTAAAAAGTTCTCATCACAAGAAAAAAATTTATAACTTTGTGAAGTGATGGATGTTAACTAAACATATTGTGATGATTATTTCACAATATAGACATATATCAAATTATGTTGTACATGATAATTAGACTAATACAATGTTATATGACAATTACATCTGAACAAAGCTGTAACATGTCATTGAGAAAAAGAAAAGCAGAGTATATTCATATACAAAGCAGTTTTTAAAAATTTATCTTTATTTTTAATTTTTTAAAAAGTGATTTATTTATTTATTTTCAGAAAGAGGGGAGGGGAGTGAGAAGAAGAGGGAGAGAAACATCAATCAGTTGCCTCTTGAATGCCCCCAACCGGAGACCGGGCCTGCCTGACCAATGATCAAACTCTCAAACTTTTGCTTTGCAGGGTGACACCCAACCAACACACCAGCCACACCAGTCAGGACTAGACAAGCTGCTTTAATTTTATAGACAAGCGTTAAGATTTTTAAAAGTAACCTAATGTTTTTGAAGGAAAACCAGGGAACTAATTATATTAAGAGACTGAAAAAAACAACCCATTAGAATGGTTAATTTTGCAGAAAAATGTAACAATATCCTCATTTGTCAAAAAGTTTATTACATGTTGACACTAACTCAATTGGAAATTAAAAACAAATATATCTG